GGCCAATTTTTCATCAACGGTGGGTTTATGCGACAGTGATTGAAGCCGTCTCCTACAGTGTACGACTAAACGCCCACAGTTAGTGTGGGTGTTTGTAAACAGGAAGATTGAAACAAAGTAAATTATTCACAGTTGATTGTTGATTAGAAGAACGTTTTGATTCGCACTAGAACCCACATTTACAGATCCGAAAATGCGCCAGTGTTTACTCGACCATCGCTTATCCCAGGCTACCACACAACATGCGTGGATGACAGTTCAGATCAAAGGTTGGGTGGTTGTTTCATTATAATAAGTGCACCAAGCAGAGTATTGACTAGCATTAGCCACCTATATGTGTGTGTATTAATCGCGCCTTATGAAAGTCACCAGATTAGCATCAAAATTCGCGGTGGTTTCGAATTTTTTCAGTGCTTTAACGTAAGTCATATGTTTGGCGTGTACGGCGATTCTACAGCCTTAAAATTGTTTCCTCGACTTGGGATTCACTGAAGGGATTTCAGGTGGTCACACTCACCACTCAGCACGATACATATGAGATTACATGCTGAGCACAGATAGAGGTGACTGATATAACTGGAAAAACTAGCGTCTCCCGAGCACGCAAACTGAGTTCCAGCCGATTACGATTTATGCTCAAAGTTACAAAAATAATTGGTGGGTTGCTGTGTAAGTCCAGTGGATTATGTTCCAATAGCTGGGTGACCACCTGATACTTGGGTTTTCAACTTTCTGCGGATTGAGCCTGCTAACGATCCGAAGTTACCATACGATTTGCCGGCGTCAGACAACTATCGTATCATTCTAAGGTGTATAGTTTTAAAAAAATTTCTGAATTCTTCCTAGGTTTCCCGTCAGTATTTCTACCTTAATGCTGTTGGTGCTTTTTCTAATGTTATTGTGTACAGCGTGATTCTCTCATTTGTAGTTTCCGTTTTGCACCCATAGCACCTTTCTTGTTTTCGACCTTAACCTAAGCCGCTCTTTGACCTTATCAACACACATCTTGGTTAAATCAACACGTGGATTTTGCTATCCTGTGGTCACATTGACCTGAGTAGGCGTGCACTTTCGGATCCCGTTTGGAATTAGCAGTTCCTAAACCGGTAAATAGAAGCTGGCATAATCCAACGATTTTAGGTTTGTACAGTTCTATTATTTTATTATTTTATTCATAGTACCTTTATTTACTATTATTTTATTATTTTATTCATAGTACCGCATTTGTTGATGAACCTTTATTTGAATGACTTGTCTTTTTGGATTTTTGCACATAACTCGTGGTCCAACTGATCGCAGGAAAAAATAAAAAATACTCAACACTCAGGTGTACCGTGGATCGCGGACGTTTGGAACTTCTGAAGCCAATATGACCAAAACACGAAGCAGCAAGCCAGTTCACAGTTTGTCGTACAATATTTCTGACAACTCTCTGGCTCCTACGCCTTCTCTGTCTTCTCGACACTCTTCCCAGCAGGCATACGGGTGGAGAATCTTGCAAGCTTAGATTAGCAAAGAAGATCCTTGGGAAAGAAATCGCGATAGAGATGAAGGAGATATAGAACTGAGATGGAGGTTATTTTAGCGGTAGCAGATGCTGTTGGGTTGGGATACTGTCCTCTGCCAACAAAAGGTCGAATGCAAAATAAGGTTTTTATTCAGTCGACAGAACATTGAGTAAACTATTGCAAAATCCCAACCGAGGAGAAGCACAATGTTCGCGGCCTCCTACAAGTCTGCGTATAGATGTTGCAGCCGAATTCGAACCGCTGCACACGAATCGGAAAGCCCATAGGTTGACTACTACGCCATGGCGCTTGCTGCCGACTTGCCCGAAATAGAGACAAATATGTTTGACGGCAATCCTATGAGATTTTGGGAGTGTATGGAAACCTTTCAACTAAGCGCAATTAACCGACTAGTTGACAAAATGAACGAGCGGATGGACCTTCTGAACAAAGCTGTGTGGGAGCAAAGGTAGCCAAAGCACCCATTTTAACGGGCGTTCCAAAATTTTTGATCTTAAAAATGTTACTTTCAGTTTTCTCGGTGTTGCCAACCAGTTTCACAAAAACTTTTGGAAAACGAACGTCGAAGTCAGCTCGTTAATTTTTTTCTTTTCGGATTCTACTCAGTCATTACTGCAATTACATTCACTGTGTTACACTACGTAAAATTAGGCTACCTGATCAGGAGTTTACCATTCGATGCTTCGGAATGCGGCTTGGTTAAGGCTTATTCGGAGCGTCAAAAACCAATTTGAACTGAGACATGACGATGCTTTCGATAGGCCTTCAGCTGTTGAGTCTCCGTCTGTTCTCTTTTCTCAGGCAACTCTCCGGAAGTGTACAACATTGAAGGGTTGACGACACTTTTGAACTCCGTTCTTTATAGAAATCCGCACAAAAAATTCAATACTAAAAAATAAAGTTAGCCAAACAATGCTCAAAACATCCGAAATTCTAAGGTTTCCCCTCAACTTGGTTCTGGAGAGGAGGACAAAGATGACCAGTTTTTGGGTGACGTCCATTCTCAATAAAAAACTGGAACAGATAAATCTGAGGATGCTGTGAAGAAGGATTAATCTACCAGTTACGACGGCCAGAACGATGCTGATGACAATGAGGAGGATATGCATGATGATGATGACGATAAACAAAGTGAGAGCGTTGGGTCAGAAGAGAGGATACAGGATGTCAGCGATAAATGGATACCGGTACGAGAGCAGCGAGAAAAGGATAGGTCCAATATATCCAAAAATATTCGGTATAAGGGTAGAAGAGATCGTGACTGAAACTGGAAGAGGCTGATATCTTCTCTCCTCGATGAGTCAGAGACTCCAGTGGCAGAGGTCTTAGTTGCTCCAATCTTGGTCACGACAGTGGTTTGAGGCATCATGAAGGAGTCGCTGGTAGCCGTAAGGACGTTCTAGGTGTTTGGTTACATGGCCCAGCTTTTCTACAAAGCCCGGAACACGTGGCCAAAATTGAATATTAAATGCGTTGCCAAGTCACAAATTCAAAGTGTCCTACGTTCTGAACACCATTGTTTTAGACGAATTGGCATTTTACAAACTGCTCACCTAGCATTTATTATGGACTAGACTGTAATGACCCTCAAAATTGATGACGCGATTGAAATTTTACCTTCACGTAAGGTCACACAAAGAAACGAAGCTTGTACCCTCACGTAGCGCTCCGCGGCTTGATTAACTGAGCGCAACTGAATATTCAGTATTGCAATAAGTCTTTCAGCAGGTTGGCTTCAAAATAGTTGTTTGTTGCGATCCCGTAGACATCTCGGCATACTTTTTTGTCTACATCCCGTGACAATTGCCCGATTGGACACAACCATGATTAGGAAGGACATATGGGCAAGTCGGGCTTTCTAGCTGGTATGTGTCAAAACGTTTGGGTTACTGAAGGGTAGCCTCGATTAAAAGGCGTGTCCGTAGGTGTTTATCGTGTAAAGCAAGGTCGCTGAGCAGTTGATGGCGTCCTCGTCAGCCTGCGGAGTTGAACCTTGTCACACTTTCGCCGCCACCGGTGTGGATTATTTCAGCCCCTTTTTTGTACGCAACGGTTAAGGAATCAATACGGATGTATCTTCTGCTTGTATACATGCGCACTTTCACATCGAGGTAGCTCATTGCAATCGAGACAAGTGTATCACACCCTAATCCTTTAAACTCAGTAGCGCTGCTACGGGACCAAAGGCACAGCCATCGCAGTTTTAGGACACTTACTTAATAACACAGCCGCCTTTCAAATACGGCCGAATCTGCCCGGGATTTTGGTGGGTGGTAATTTGTGTAGGTTGAACGTCAATGGGTGATTATAAGCAAAACACTAGCAAAAGCCGTTTTTAGAGCACTACAAGGATTATCTACCTCGTTGCTTGAGTTAAATCACTGGCCGCAAGTGAACAAAGACTTGTGGAAGTGAGCTCCAGTCTGTCTTCAATCCAGAGGCACTAGGGAAAGCTTCCCACCGAAATCTACCTCGAGCGCAATTATCTATCATTTAGGCACCAGTGCAGTTGGCTCGTCACCATCATTGAAATCTGCTCACCTTTGATGTTTGCTTTTACAAATTGCCGGAAATCAACCAGCTCACTGATCATCCCTGTAAGATGCTCAGTTTGACTTTCTTAGAAAGATGCCAGGTTAATCTCTGTTACCCAGTCACGGCATTTCATACTCGTTTTTGGGAAACAGGGATGTTAAAGACAATACGAACTGAGCAAATCGAGCCTAACACATGTGAAAAACACTTATTTGCATAACGACTGAATGATGTGACGCGCTCAGTTTAACTTTATTTCATTGTTATTTGAGAAAACTGGGAACGATAATGCGGCGCTTCAGAATATTTCACCGAACCCAATTGCCTCGGCCTGTCAGCTCACAACGGGCCACAGAATGACGAAACCCCGAAGAACTTATATCAGCTTCGTTCTTTTGTGGATTTACGTTTCTTGCTTCAGTAGATTTTAACCCACAAACCTAACATGCAGTTTTTACGAACGCGTATAGAGCAATCAATATTTTTTTGAGAACAAGATCTATTCATACTTTTCTAGATCTGTCTCAAACACTGTCTTGGGGGTTGATGTTGTGGTAGTGATGTCAAGGTGCTAACTAGCGCCAATTAATCAGCTGAAACACGTTTATTGGTACATATTTCGTGACTTTCCATAAGTTCAAAATAATATAATTGATTGCTTTCAGAATCCTGCCAGACATGTGCTGAAGCCGCAATGTCGACATCCTCAGTGATCGATAAACCAGTCAACGACAAGGAAAGAGCGTGAACTTAGCCTATGCAATCAGTGCAGACATACGTGTAAGAAAAGTAATGAATACAAAATATTGTACATTCAACACGGTCCTAGAGACTGAGAGTAGTTTGATTTTCGGTATACACTGTATGTATTTTGAGTAATTCTTGAGGTCTATTGAGAGTGGTGGAAGTTTCTTTGCATGCAAGGCTTGAGGAATTATGTTAATTCAGGAAGACAGTAAAGCACGCAGTTCTGTTTCTTTCAGTTTCAGCATGTGCAAAGGATTGCTAGGATGCATCCTTATTATTATCAACATTGTTTCACTGGTAAGTTGTTGAGGCTATATATCCGTATCTGCGCGTGGTTCAGTTGAAGTTGCTGATTGCTTCAAACTCTTTGATTGCGTTGTGTGATTAGTAAACCACGGAAATTTTGACGGTACATATGAATGTTGATTTTCTCCAGGGGAAATTCTAGAAATCAACCTTATTTAAACGGGCGCGTGGTTCAGTTGAAGTTGCTGATTGCGTTGTGTGATTAGTAAACCACGAAAATTTTGACGGTACATATGAATGTTGGTTTCCTCCAGAGGAAACTCTAGAAATCAACCTTATTTAAACGAGACAAGGTTGACCACACCCAGTTTTATAATTCACTGTGGACAAAACACGGTTTGTGATAATCTATTAAGATTTATCTTATGAAGAGTTCGTTTAAGAAGTAGAATCATCTTATGCCGAAAATCCGAGGCACTATACAGCTGTTGCAGCCTTATTGGAAATCATCGGCAATGGGCATCTTATGGTACTTCATCGAGTTTTGATCCCGTTATCTCTCGGCTTTTAGTTTGAACACGTAACCCTCCGGCCACAAGCAACCGATCGGCAGTGAAATAAGCATGCACTTACAAGACCAGTTACAATGACCTTGAACCAGTCTGTGATGAACAGTCTACATTAATCTTACACATGTTTCACTGAGTGTTGGTGTGGCACGGAGTAGCTGCAAAAAAAGGATAACACCTTCATGCCCAGCTTCCCTCCGTTAATAGCTGCAAAAAAAGGATAACACCTTCATGTCACCGAATATCTTCGTTCCTCTCAGGTCGCTAAGATATATATTTTCCGCCCAGCTTCCCTCCGTTAGTGCTCCCGCGTAACTGACGGCATTCATACAGCCTTTTGAGGTTGATATTTAGGTCAAGCTGCAATGATGTCCAAACTGCTGGATTGTCATGGAGGGCTACACAGAAGGCTCCATTTTATCTCTTTGACTACGGAACCCTTGTGTTGTTTAGAAAGACGTGTCAGCGTAGCGCAAGGGAACAATAATACGTTCGCAGAATAAACGGTTACATTCCAGATGCAATACTGCGATATCAACACACCAACCGTCGAAAAAATTCCGGATCATTCCAATAGTCGACTTGTAACCAGCTGAACCAGTAACGCCGGTCATATACGTGGGATAGTATATAAGTTGCCTCTTAATCTTACCATAAATATAACCATAAAACAGCAATCCTCAAACATTTCTGCGGTGTTCCCAAAATATTGAATTTTGTTGTGAATCACAGACCAAGTGGGTGGGGATACACTTCAGGGTCTATTGCATTCGAATTTCTCAGGCCATAGCGTTGTCACAGAACTTGTTTCGTCTCGGAAGTATCAGCACACATATGTAGCGTAAATTGGATGTACTTCCTGGAAAAAAGTGTGCATAGCATGAAAGAATTACTCAAAGACTCCTCAACCCCCTAATTGCCAAACGGAGAAAACCGCGCAGTTCAATGAAAAAGATTGGGCTTTGTGGAGACCAACATATACGTATCAAGGAAACTTGAGAAACACTCATGCAGGCCAGATCTGATGGTCTAATAGGCGATTCAAACACCACATTCAAAGGAACACAACAGCAACAATATGTAGGCTTACAATGCTTCTTATCTTTCTAACATATATTGACAACATTTAAAAGACGAAATATTATTTGAAATTACGAAATCTCCTCACTACAGAATGAAATTTTCAAGGCACCGAAAGAACATGATGTCTTGCCTAAATTCAATATAAAATTTCTTGAATTTTGGAACAAGCATAATTTCGCATTTGCCGTCAGCTCGCTTTTACATGAAAACTGAATGACCTAAGTGGTTACCGCATAGTCTGTCCAGAACTGAAGCTTTTATGCACCGATTACTTTGATTACCACTGATTTTCGACAACAGTACGCTATGCAAAATAAGGGCATAGTTGTTATCGACAGCTCCTCCTCCGGTGTAGGTTGCATGTGGACTTGGTCACCTTCAGGGTGCTCAGATCTGATGGGAAGTTGATCAGACTCCTGGACCAATGCGTATGGCTCAGACGCCTGACCACTAGTTAGTAATGTTTTAGCGGAAATATCAGTTCATTTCACTTTTTAATAATAAGTCGCCATGCATGTTCCGACCATCAAACTGGCGAACCAGAATGTCATGTCGGGTAGTCCGCCAACCACTCACTCATCTAGTATGAGAGGCTCTGTGAGTATCTCTCAGACATCCCACAGTACAACTCAGTGGGTCACACAAGGCTAAGGTCCAGCTCTATCGTGAACTTAGGGCCTATTACTTCTTCGGTTTGAAGTAGTTAATGACACCCGGTCTATTCTTGAGACAGTCTTTGTCAAAAACTCTGTACTGTAGCCTCCCAGCAGATAATAACGAATGCAACTGCTTGGTATCTCAAAGCACACAGGATCAGATTGAGTAATAAATTTATTGTCACTTGCAACGTTTGGGCACAGTAATGTTTTGAATACCCATAACACAATGAGGCTGGTTGGATGTGTCAAACATTTCTTACATTCTAAATCCAGTATGCGCACGCATTTGAAATATCATGGCTATTCCGACATGAACACTACTGATGTTATTATTTGTCAATCTGATAATTTCAGCTCGTTGGCCTTGCCTTCGGTATTCTGTTTGGTCTTCTTCTGTTCAGCAAGTCCATCATTGATAAGGTGGTCAGCGATCTTGCAGCAAAACTTGATAACGGCGAGGTTGATATAACATTTCTACATGAAACCTTGAGCGAGCTTTGGAAGCGGTTATGTAAGTAACGTGAACGATAAATTAGGTTTCACTTCGTATGTATTTGTGGTCCGCAGTGTAACAGTCCAGATCAAACTTCTAAAAGGTGTATAGTTTTCTACACCATCTGTGCCCCCACACGCTTCAACTAAAAAACTTCTAATCTTCAACCTGTAACTTTGATTTTGATTTTAGCACCTTTGTTTTGGGGTCTCCTCATCTTGGGCATCTTGACACTCGTTGTTGCTATCTTGGCGTTCGTCGGACTATGCTGCCGAATCAAATGTATTTTTATATTGGTAAGTCGAATTTCGCCTCTGGAATAATGCACATCACCAGTAAAACCACGACGGACTTTATGCACGCTCTCAGTATCTCTGGTCTAACCTGTATTTCTCTTACATCATTCACTTTCAGCATTCAGTTCTTAACTCTGATGTCCCGTTGTACCCTTCATCGCCACGTGTGCAATTAACACCGCAAGAATACAAATTGAGTGAGGCTGGTCTTAGATTTATACATTCCAACTCACACGGCTCAGTTGAAAAGCCTTGTGAGTGTGATTTCCCTCTTCAGGCTGAAAGCGGAACTTGCTGCATTCAGCCAGACTAGCTATATAACCTTGGCTGAGGGAAAATTGTCATTAGGTCATGTTTCTGTTATCCGGTTGACGTTACGCTGCCATTGACACCCGTGGGCAGCCATAACAAGTTTATCGTTTGTTAGGATTTGATTTCGGCTGGCTAAAAGAAGTTATTCCAAGTTTTTTGTGAAGCCGGAAACAATGGTGCGAAAACGCGATATCACGTGATTACAAGGCCCAACAAAATTGCCCGAAGGTACAGTTAACCTCGAAACAAAAACAGTGGATCGATGACATGACTAAATTTAAAACGCCTGCCAAAATGGCTGGAGTCACTAGGACAGCTAGCACAGAAGGCAGTGATAGGGGAAAAATATGAGGAGCAGACATCACATTCGTGGAACTCGGAACCACCAATTGAATAAGAAACTTGCGGACAGTTTACCTCCTTCCTCCAACCACTTACCCGTAAGACATAATCCTGTGTTTACCAAACAAACCAAATTTTACTGGTAGGCTGAATTGTACCCTCCTGATCAGTTGAGCCGAAAAGCTAGGATTGTGGCGTGAAGCGATGGCTAGCTTACTTCGGGCGTCACGGAGAATGTAAATGCAACATACACATGATCCCTCCCGCAAAGTGGTTAGTTAATTCGATATCTAACAAACTCGTTCACCTAGTCTCTTGAACTGGGACTGGTAGTAAATGTGTTTAATTGTTCGTTTGTCTACTATTTACTCAAATGGACTAAAACCGCTCTCTGCCACCATGCACCAAAGCATGTCAGCTAAAGTACTTGTTTGTGTGAGTTGATTACCAGTGAATCTGTCTACATGCAGCCTGATATGACTTAATGTGCCAGTAGCAGCCACGAGGTGGCTTTCGCTATATGGCTGCTCATGTTTAGTATAACTTGCGGACGTTCACACTTGTGCGCTTTCTTGTTTTACTTTTCAGTCTGCTACATCAGGTAACTGTCTGCAAATCTTCGATGTGGCACCATCAGTCAGGCACCATTTAAGTAACTGGTTGCATATCAGCCCCTGCATCTGCTACCTAGTGTCCGCACTCAAGATTCATTTCTTTAGCTCATTACACTGACTTTACTGCGCGACGTTTTGAGCAGCAGGGTCAATAAGATTTTATTGCGGATATCTTACTTTTCAACACCTAAATCTTAAGTGAGGAAATCGGAATCGGGGCGCATTCACTATATGCATACCATGGACCGATTACCACCGACGGTACGAGTTGCATGAAGTAACGAAGTGAGATGCTGAAGAGCCTGCACAGTGGGCGCAGGTACAATTAGCCTACATTGCTGGTGAACGTGTGTTCACGCCAAACAAGAAATTTCGCCCCTTTGTATGAAAGCCAGAACAAGATGACAAAAAATGCTGAAAAAGTAACATTTTAGAGGGAGAAATCTTGGGTTAGGAATAATGATGGATCAAAAGCTCTCTTTCACGTTTAATTTTGAGTGGCATGCAGCTAATTGATCGAAAACCAACACAATTTACCAGTTTTGTCAAACACCGTCCAACGACTTTTATCCATTACTCTAGAACGCGGTTCAGTTGTGACGGGCCACCCACGCTAACAAATAAACGAAAGTCGTCCGGTATTCTCCACTTTGGCAATGTTATACCTAGGAATACTAGGTAGATTTTTTTTTCATGGTTGTACTACAGTATGTCACAAGTCCATATCTGCTCCTGGCTTCCTCTCTCGGACATCGTAAAATGAGAGTAGTCAATAAACTTCATCCCGTTTGGGATCAAGTAGAGCGTGATATGTCAATCTGATGAGCCCCAAGAGGGCAAAACTTTTGTGGGCTACTGAAGGGTTTCCATGAGAATTATTAGTAGGGTGTATTTCATCTGGACGGCGGCTGAAAGAAAGTGTTGGTGGTTTGATAAAGTAAAATCGGATTTTTTATGACTGTACAATCTAAATCCTCATGTTTTCTCACTATACGTGACTTATTTTTACGTAGTATGGTGTTGAAGTGGATATTTAGTTTATTCGGAATGGACGTCATCTGTCGTAAAGTCCACTGGTTTTATGCAATCCTTTGACATCTCGATTATCTGAAACGAATCTCAATTGGGTGACTGCACACTAGCTGCCTTAAAATTAGGGCCGGAAACAATGCTGTTCAATTGGGTATATAAAAACATCTCCTTCAAGTAACCAGTATACTGCATACAAACTTGCAATGTAAGTTCATCATCGTCAAAAGTATAGCATGAGTGGTCACAACTGATGCTTTTCTGCCGCACAACCATAATTCCCTTGAAAGCCTAATTGCGAAGGAAAGGGACATAGACGTAGTGCCGGCCCATCACAATGTTATTCCAATGTGCCCACATCTCCAGACATTCATTCAGACAATCTGGACAGAATCTGACAACGAGAACATCGTGAGAATCTATCGGAAGCTATATCTTGCAGAATATATAATCAGGCGCCGTGGCGCGATCACCATTCCGGGTGAGTTGCACTGACAGCATCCCGACTTTTCGTAATCTCCTTCTAGCCTTCTATCCCTCCTCCTTCTAGGCTTTCCCCTGATAACTTTTCGGATCCTCTGTCTGAACAGGCCGTCTCAAGTTGTACATTGAAACAGCCTGCACCGTAGCTTGATATGCACGTCCTGTGAGATTCAGGGATATATAACTTTGACGTCATAGGTGACTCATATAAGCGAGCGCAATCCGAGACACGCAGATTTGTGCATAGGCTTCATCTGTCACATTGCAGCTGGATTGGATGCAACTTCCAACATATATAGAGCCCTCCACAACTCCGGGTGCCTTTTTGTGGATAGCACTGGAGTGTTTAGTGATTTTATGTCCTTATATTTTGTGGATGCAAAGGGCATACCAAAGGACGGGATAACCTGGTCAGCCGCTATCATATTCCAGTTAAACTCAGTATGCTTTGTAATCAATATTAGCTGAGAGATCACCCGATAGAAAATGAGCATGGGTGCTATATCTAACAATATATTAGATGATCTTTGTTGAACAAAGTCGAAAAATAAATTCAAACGCTTAAAACAGATAACGGAAAACACCTAGAAAAGTTCATTGTTTATTCAATATTGTTGCTTTCAATTTCTCAGTAGATCGTCAACGACGATCCAATTTTGTGACATTATTACTACTTATATAAGTAACAAAAAAGTAATAAGTAACAAAAAATGCCAATGCCAGGAGATTCATTGGGTAAAAAATTGTCATTTCTCAAAGTTACATCTTCCGACCCCTTATTACCAAAAGATGCTCTCAATTCGATGGGACATTTGGGCTGTAAAATTTCTGTCACCGCACACATGTTGTCAAACATTTCCAGAGAGCCTGGTAGTCATGCACAAAATTTATTTATAGTTTGCAGTTACGCTCACACAACTACACACATGATACATAGATCCTGTATATAGTGTTGTGAAAATCACTTGTAATTTTGCTTTTATTCATATTCCAGTACGTTGCCATAGCTGCGGCAGCACTCTTAGCCACCGTCATATTTGTCATCGTTTACTTTGCCAAGCCGTCATTGGTAAGTAGTCAGGTTCTCCTCCCGTATTCGAACCTAACCCAATAATAAGTGTTTTCTGACATTTTTTCGCTTATCCTCTACTTCAGATATTTGATGCTGTAGATAAGCGCTTAAAAAATTCGATCATGAACTACGTATCCATCGTTTACGGCGATTTTGATAGCAATTTTGCGTCTATCCTAATGCAGGTGGTAAGTATTATTTCATACCCGTATACCTATGGAACTGTCTTTTTTCAACAAACCTATTTTTGTCCCCACTTAAATTATGTATTGTAGGGCAAATGCTGTGGCTATAACAACGGAAGTGACTTTAAGTTACCGGAAGCAAAGTTTTCAGGAAGAGACAGCTATAACGGCCAGCAGTTCTCCGGTATGTTTTCATGCCTGATGGTCGGATAGAGTGATACTAATTGTTGCACAAATACAGAAGGTTCAAATGGTTTGACTTTGTTTATCTTCCTTTACATGAAACAGACTTGGAATACCCTGTGGCTTGTTGCATGATGTTGGAGCAGCAAGAAAACGCCATAAACAAGTGTCCAAAAACGTTCAACGATCAAAATAGCTACATATCAGTTGGCTGCAAATCAAGCTGGGAAGCCCAGCTAAAAACAGTGTGTGACATTCTTGTGCTCATCACCCTGGTAGCACTTGGCATAGAAGTGAGTACATCAAATACGATTTTCGTTTTCTTCTTTAATCGAAATTTGTTAACTCGAAAGATATTCATAGATGGTAAATGCTTATGAGCGCATTTTTAACAGTGGTCGCAGCTTATTCCATTTTCACACGTCCTCAGTAATCTCACATACTATAAATTGAATACATTTTGTACCCAAATAATTAATCCAAATATTGTATGTTTTCTCAATTTTTCTTTCTGTGCAGCTTATATGCTTCGCTTTTGGAGTCATTATAATCGTTTTACGCAAGCGTGAAGATTGAGCAAACGGATGGTCAGTATCGCACATAAATCCACAGAACGTGATTACTTCCCTTTTAAATGTCAACGTGATTTTAACCCCAAACATGATCTGATGACCTACGTTACTGTCCTTTATTGCATTTCCGGTCCGTGAAGAGTACCCGGTTATTGTTAGTTTGTAGTATTACTCACGGCCTGTCTGCCTCGACTTGCATCCCATTGTTTGGTAAGTGATAAGTAGGCTAAACTAAATTTCCTGAAGGTTAACAGCTGGGTATCTGTGACATCGCGCATAAACTGATACCTACAGAAATGGAGATGATAAAATTTTACACCTTTTATAACAGAAGGCCATTTTGCGCTTGTTAAAAAGATAGACATTATTTAAATGAATGTAAAAGAGAAGACACGGGAAAATGTAATTAACTAGGATGGGCTGTCTGAAATAAAGCCAAACACTCACAGTGGCAGTATAATATATCGAAGTGTTAGCATCACTATCTATCATAAACTTACCTGACCAGTCCGTAAAACAGTAAAAGAGAGCACCAACTGAGAATATTCAGGAAAATGATCCTTGAGGTGCCCAAAGCGTATCGTCATCTGAAGAACGAGTAGGGCCGCGCACATATCGATCTGGACAGTAACCACTCACGACAGATTTCCTTCGACGAGGAAATTTCATGCAGCTGCACAAACCTGATAAATGCCGCCTACCACATCTGACACTGAGTCTTGCTTCTAGTTATTCATGTCCCTTTCTACCAGTGAAAGGGAGAAGACCCTTCGTTGAGAAGTCGTTTATTAGCAAACACCTAATAAGCAATTACGAATACTTGAACAGGAATTTGAACATTTCTTATGCAAATAGATTTTAAAAGTTGGGCATTCTCAAGTGTCTTCTTGAACTTTCATGGGTATTCATTGACTCGTATGCAACTGCAAGCGAACACTTAGGAGCAGTTCCACAAATGTCGTAAACTTTCATTGCATGGGGGTGCAACTTCGACATAACCACAGACTAATCGGAAGCCTCATCAACAGTACACGCCATTACATTAGTATATTGAATATACTTAATACAGTTTGTCTCTTTCAATTGTAAACGTGGTTCTTCTGACGAACAGGATGTTCTGACAACTCAGACCAGATGGGAATTAACTAAATGCATATTCAGTAGACAAAATCATACAGGTGAGTATCTGTGCTGAAGTAAGCGGTTAGATAACCAGTACACAATACGCAGTCCCAATAAAAATCAAGGCAGTAACTATGATATCTCTTGAAAATGTGAAGACATCTGCAGCAATGCAGTTTTTATAGAAGATCCATGCAACGGTGCCAATACAAACACGAATGAACGACTTGAAATGCGTGAATAAGTGAATGTATAGCGCAATAACTGCGTGGTTTGGAGTAATAGAAGGTAAGGGAGGAAGACGTATATATAAATTTAGCACCTACTCCAGATTAGTTCATCATTCACATCAGTGAGATCTTTGAAGGAAATTCTGGTGCTACGCCCATTGAATTAACATGCTATAATAAAACAATGATCATATAAAGATTGTCTAGAAATTCACGGAGTGTTAAGCAAAGCATAGGAAGCGACGTATACGTAAGGAAACAACTCGTTGTGCGACAGGAACAGAAAACAAGAAATTATTCGCTCTAGCATCTCACTTTGAAATTCGGATCAATTCTTCTTAGGATTTTTGACGCGCTGGGTGAGTGGCTTCAAGACGGTAGTATTTAAACTAATAAGAACTTTTTCGTCCCTCGGTGAAAAGTTAATGTGTGCCGGAACATGAGTTATCAAGCATTGACTACTTGGAATAGACTGATGGTGATGAAGATCTTTCGGCCAATCACACCGAAAAAAGGAAGGCTGAGTACTTCTTAGTTCACTACTTGAATAATTTTGTTGCTGTTGCTACGATTTTGTTCGGCCGGTAAGTTCTCTATTTTGGCTGGTAAGCCCGTGTATTCAGTGAGTAGATTTCAAGTATTTTGGTTATTTTTATTATTCTGTCACTGTGTTGTACGTTCTAAAGTGGATTTTCATTCAGAGGTGTAGCAGAGAAGTTATTTTGTCACGGGATTAGTTGAGCTGATAGAAACTGGCAAACAAGGTACCACTAATGATATTCTTTAGGTGCTCTTTCTAAATCCGGGGCGAATCCTCAAAAACATCAATCGAGTTACCACTGAAACGGGAACACCATAGTAATTATATTTCTGTCATCGATGCATTACTTGAATAATTTTGTTGCTGTTGCTACGATTTTGTTCGGCCGGTAAGTTCTCTATTTTGGCTGGTAAGCCCGTGTATTCAGTGAGTAGATTTCAAGTATTTTGGTTATTTTTATTATTCTGTCACTGTGTTGTACGTTCTAAAGTGGATTTTCATTCAGAGGTGTAGCAGAGAAGTTATTTTGTCACGGGATTAGTTGAGCTGATAGAAACTGGCAAACAAGGTACCACTAATGATATTCTTTAGGTGCTCTTGCTAAATCCGGGGCGAATCCTCAAAAACATCAATCGAGTTACCACTGAAACGGGAACACCATAGTAATTATATTTCTGTCATCTATGTATACTTTTTGGATCATTTTACACCATCAGTGGATCCATAAATTCTAAAGTATCTGTCATTCTGAATTACAAACTATCCAGACGGTGACAGCATTTCTATTCTGAGCACACATTTTTCAAACTGTCGATCAGCTACCCGTGACTCAAGGGTACCACTTCAGACTTAAACTAAAAGCTCATCAGTACAATTACATTATGGGAAGGGTAGTCAGTCGGCATCTGCTTTCAGGCTGATACGCCACACTGAACTACGAGGATAGGCAGTTGGGCCCAATATGCTTAGCCAGATCTGCATGCCACACTGAACTACGAGGATAGGCAGTTGCGCCCAATATGCAATGTCACTTAGCCAGATCTGCACGACGGTGGTCACAGTGATGATCTCCTGGCACTCTTAAAAGTTCAGATTATCATTACGTGTCTTTATAAATGAATTCACAAAGTACATGTGAATAAAATAATATATATATAATATTCACAACATAGATCGCTTATACATGCAGTGAATTTGAAAGGGAATCCCCATTGAGAAATTCAAGAACGTCCTCCCGTTACCAAAAACAAATAAGTAGTGTACAATGAACATTAGTTAACAGGTGGAGTGAGAAAAGACCACCACATGTTTCAACTGCTATCGTATATCTTCTTGATCGAATATTACCCAAAAGGTGTTGAAATTTCTTTTACGGTTTTCATGCGGTCTTGGGCATTTAGGGGTAGGCGCAAACCCAGGAAGAATGGGCAAACACACCTCTGAAAATCTATGGTGAACTGGAATGATAGGTGGAAGAGTTTGAATGTGTCAGTGGGCCGTTTGGATAGACATGATGAAGGCAATATCCTATGAACAGGAAAATATATGAGCAGTTTTGTGACAGGAATTTTTTTAGTATCCTTGTAGCGGGGACACTGGTTATTTACTAAGGAGCAATTTCACTTGATAGGCGCAACCAACTGATCATTTAAAATTAAGGGTATTAACACAACTCATTTTACCAGCGGAATAACCGCAATTTTCAACTAAGGTAGGCAGTTTAGAGGAGCGATACTTCCGCCGACGAAAATTGAAAAAAACGACTTTTTGTACGCTCAGTGACATTTCTGGAAGGCCATGACGCAATGATTTCAACGATTATTGCAAAAACATGAGGGGACGGCCGAAATAAATTTTGAGGATGCTGGCGAATTGATAATATAACATAATTGCTGTATTACGTCTACATAGGTATCGCAATATCTCGAATATCGTACCGACTGAAACATAAAGGAGCCTAGTGCAGCACATCCAGTTGAGTAAAAACGAGAGATTCAGTCGGGTTCAATGTGAGTCTTTCACAAAGCCAAATTTGTTTGAAAATGAGTGTACTTCGCCAAATGCGTGCAATTCGGGTTCAAGCAGAACATGAGGTTGATGGAAACTCCGGAACTGCGCCTACCTGGTGAGCTCCAAGAAGGGCAAAATCGGTCATTGTTTTTCGGGAGATTTTCAGTATCCTTATATGTAGTATGTATGTTAACACAGTGACTTTTTTGTCATAAAACGATGGGCAATGAATGTGCTGAAATAAATTGGAAACCAATTGCTGGCCAAAAGCGAAAGCTGAATGATATATGGCTGAACGGATTGATCCGCTTTACTGAAATTATCACACGCGCAATAATGATTACACTAACTTCGGGGATGGATGATAAAAAAGTAACATCACCAGGATAATTCAATGATTATTTTTGCAAGGGGAAAATACTGTATCTTTTTTCGTTATCCGGAATTTCCTGAGCGGGATAGCACTGACACGTAAGCGCATCGGTGTTATAATTTAAGATGTGCAGTATTTTGGATGAATAGGTAAATTTAGCCTGCCCTGCTGATTGGACTGAAGCTGGTCTAGCGTTCGGTATTCCGCTTAGTGCTTTCGAATACCGTTTCCCATTCAACTCTCAGTTTGAGAAAAAACTGAAGGGAGGACCTGGTTTGTACTCTAATCGGACTCCGAGGAGAAACGAGGAAATTAGCTTAATGGAAATAACTTGGCTACTGGGTCATGTAAGATTTCACGCAAAGAGATCCCACTAGACAGAAGTTAGACTATCAGTATGGAATAACTATCTTGATTTCTAATGAAATCTAAAACCTTGCAAAGGGAATTCCAATTCAACTTCTCTTTGATCGAGAAGAAATTAGCTGGTTCCAATGATGCTCAGATTTTCACCGCTAGTGTGGAGCTAAATTCATAGCCGTTGCAGTCAGTTAATGGGAACCTTTGTATTGTTGCCTGGCACGCTCAACCAATTCTGGGTACAAACCGGATTACCTCAACAAAGTAAGTTATCCCACGTTATTGTCCACGTATTAACTGGAACTCAAAATTTAGCGTGACAAGTTACCAAAACGAAGTTAACTGACATCTGCAACATTTGATCTCAACCCAGTGAGGAATTATCTCGCCTGCTTTCTACAAAAGTGCAAGTTGATGAAGACTAAACTCTAAGTCAGGGCAGCGGCGTTGCATATTCTAGAAGGTGCAACGTTTACATCGTCAATTTTCCCACATTCTTTAATTATTTAATGAAAGTGTGTCCCAAAATTCAGCAGAAGACAACATTCTCAAATTTTGACCGACACATTTGAGGTTTCACTTCTAAAGCAACGGTATATAGTGGTGCGTCAAAATTAGTCAACTATACTTGAGAGCTCAGAGGCCACGGCTAAATTTATTACTCAGATATGCTACGGTCCAGCTGATAACTCAGTTTTTTGGTTACAAAGGCAGACGCATGTGCGTCACCTAAAATACTGGGAGGTTCACTAGAAAGCATTCCTTCTATCAGTGGCATAAATACATTCGGCCGTTCACTGCTCTATCCAGATTGCAAATACGGGCTAATGAAAGATATCGACTACTTTGTCTATGCGACCTGGCAAAGTTTGTCAAATATGGCTGTCCTTCTGATCTCACCATTTTATCGGCACTTGACTCTTCCCGACTCAGACTACTAGCAAGGTTGCCTACTTATGACAGTTAGATACACATTGTTGTATCTGATACAACTGCACCGGCATATTGTCGTACCCGACAGGGCGAAGCGTTAACCAACTAATTCGCACCCATTCTTCACACAAAAGGGAATGAACGACACCGATGACTACCAACGCAATTTGAAGTTTTTCAAACACAACCACGAGAGTGAAATTTGCGAAGTCTGTGTTTAAATTCTGAATTCCAACAATGCGAAATGCCATATTGGGGATCATGATGAATAATTCTCTTGATTTTAAACGTACTACACACAAGTCTGCTACAGTCTCCAAAGGTTACAGTCTACAGCCCAAAAAACGAATATCATAAATGAAATTGTACAACTGTAGGTTTAACTCCTTGAAATCATGTGGATACTAGATACTGCAACGTGGGAAGGAGATTCGACAGGCATTTAGGAGAGGTGGCTAATTAAAAAAAGTGGCTTTGTTCTGTACACCAACTCTGTCAGAAACAAAATGAATATCTTCATTTTAGGGGCGTCACATAGAGCTAGTTCCCAAAGGCCGACCGCTCTTGCTTCTACTTTTCCCACAAGTGCTTTAGCCAGCTGTCAGACTTTTTTGTTACCTTGAGCTAAATGGCGATTATCTGTTATATCACAGCTAAATTCGGCTTCATTTTATTCCTCGAGCCACTGTCGCCTTAACGCATGCCTGCATTTCATTCTTAGAACGTCTTCTTACAGATTTCGTTCCCAGCATTGTTCTGGAGTCTTGTCGTAGTTACATTTTTAACGGCTTTATGAGAAGACGCTAGTTATTGCCTTTAGTGGAGGCTTGTGGAATAAGTTTGTGACTTGGGGTTCACAACAGGCCTCCAACAAAATTATACGATGGTGAAAAGTCCTTTTAATTATAGGTACCCTTCCGAAATTAAGGCATTTGGTCTTGTGGAAAAGCTATCTGATTCGTATAGCGTGCACATACACCCACTTTTGGCGATAAAAATAGATCTGCTGATTTCGTTTTATCTTTGTATTGATGAGATTTACTCTTCAGACACGAGTCACCATAGCATTCAGACAACACTATTGGAAATGCCGTGGGCATCTAGTCATCTGACGGCTGCAAATAGGCAAACCGTCTACAGTATGCAGTTTCTTGGAGTATGTAAGTATTTGTACGTATTTATGCATTTGCTACTTTTCATTTTTGACAGTGATCACTAGTTGGTTTCGATGTGTGCGCCGTTTTAATGTTCACAAATTCGTGGTTGATCACAATAAAACTCAATGCAGACCACGTCCAGTGATATGTTGACCTATTGAATAGGCATTCAAAAAAGTGATAGGTGTAAAAGATTTGCTGAAACCTATGAAAACCGGAGGAATGAACCAGTGGGCCTCATAACGGTACATTTAATGTGCAATGGACGTAAGTCCCTCAGAAAAGGTTTTCCTGGTACAAAATTCGGATCAGCGAATTAATGCGTGTATAGTCCAAAAGACTCACTAGACAGAGCTGTGGATCAGAATCGCCAAGAGCATTGTGAGCACCATTTTTTAATTACAGGATGACTTTCGTGAGTTGAAAATTAAGCAGACAGTCCATTTGGTAATTTAGTAATGGCTCAGTTTCTCTGCAGGGTTTTTTGGTCGGCGGCATAAGTCTGGGTGGAAAATATATTTAGGGAACTGAAGAACACCAAAAGGTCGGTTCCAATCAGTGGTTGGCGACTGAATACATAAATAAACAAATATTGATTTTAATGGGTGCATATACCCGAAAAACTTTAGAATGGGTGTAGTTTACCGAAAGACGATAGTTTAAGAAGTTATTAAGTGTCATCCCTGCAAGAGCGACCGGTTATTAAACTTCTCATCCTGTTTCAGAGACAAAGAACACGAAGTAACAAAGAAACTGCCAAAAGTATGTGGCTGAAGTCACAGCAACGATAATTTTCTGAGTGATAATAGAAATTTCAACCTTACTTATATGGTGCTCAACATGAATCTTGGTTAAGGATTCGCCCCACAGTCAGTGGCACTCTACTGGTGCTACGGTAACATACATTCCTATCACACCTCTTGAAATTTGGAAGCCTAGTGAGACATGCCGGGATAAGTATAGTATCTATTCATTAGTTGTATTCGCGACTTGCGCATAAAATCACTAGATATTTAAGCACCCAATGTTTTAAACAGTCTGGCGCTTGAATAATGATACTTGAAAAGTTATTTTCCCTGTTAGGTCAGACGAAGTTTTGGTGATGTGAGCGGAAAACCCAACGCCTCAAACGACGCCTCGGTACCATACCTTGGTCGTGTTGGTCGACTGGTACGCCTACCAGAACTTTCCAGATAGGTACTGCTCAACGCCTCAAACATTCTCACTTTAGTTGATGTTGGTTGCAAACTTTTTAGAATGTACACCCACATAAATTTCCTTTAAGGAGTAGTCTTTCTGTCCTGGTACAATTATCCTGGTGACCCCACACCAAAAAGAGAAAGCACTGTTTTGATGATTCAGAAAAGCCACACCTGGTTGTTTCATGAATAATTCTCTGGATTTTTCAGACATGGAACACTATTTAAAATTTCTTGAGGAACCCCTAGACGTCTATTTTCTCGAGCCGTCTACATTTTGTCGACCAGAAAACCGACTCACATGAATGATGTGCAAGGGTACCTTAACCTTCTTGTAGCCGCGCTGCACTGTGACGAGTTCTGAGTTGAGAACTATATAGGCATTTAGGGGAGGTGCTGAATGGTGAAGTCAGTGGACTCGTTCTAGCCCATCGAAACTGTCTCAGATGAAATCGATAAATTTATTCAAGAGATCCTGCATGTGGCTAGATGAACACGGGATTAATATCACAATATCAGGAGCGCCTATTGTGTTGCGACTTCCTTCGAAAGTATTCTGTTCCCCGGTGGACGGTGAGGTTAATAAATGTGAGGTATGGTCTAGTTTGATAAGCCAGTGTCACATAAACGTATAACTAAGGCATATTGCTGTGCACTCTGGTTTCGCATTTTGCGGTTATGTATAGAGGATCGGCAGAAGTGAGGTACTTTGCAAACGTTCCATCACCAATCGAAGTGACCTCATCAATGCGTGATTAGTGAGCTTAGTAGTGCGTAGCGGTGGGTTGGTGGTTGTGCGTTGGGTAGTGTTGCGCGTGAGTTAATATACGCGCTGCTAGCAGGAAATGACCTTTGATCATGATTAGTTGTTTGGTCCACCGATTCCATTGGTTGCCGCATTGCCCGGTGTCCCCATTCGCCGATGCCTAGGTGACCTTTGAGCGTGGCATCCCCTGCCATCGTAATCTGGTCGATGCTGGAGTGACTTTTGTCCTCTCGAGTACCGGCTTGTGACCTTTATTTATTTTCCTCCTTGAATTCCTTTTTTTTTTGTTTTTGATGTTGGTCTTTTGCACGTTGGGTGCGTAAATTGGGTCCAGTTCAATGTACCGGTTGATCGAATCTACCGTGGAGTACCATGCTTCCAGAAATTTTCTTCCGTGTCTCGTGCCTCCGTATGCCAAAATTTTCGCGTTTTCCAAATTGAATTTGTGGTCTTCTTGGTCCTCGTTTATGGATATCAAGGACAAGGGGTTATGCTTCCTGACGGCCGCGATGTGTTCCCTTATTCGTGCGCATATTCTCCTCCCAGTTTGTCTGACGTAGAATTTGTTGCAGTTGTTGCAGTTGAGTTGGTATAACACACTGTTCTTCTTGGTTTCGTCCGGGTTGTCCTTCGGTCTAGAGGCTAATTTCCTCAGGGTGGCATTCGTTTTGTGGGCCACGAAGATTCATTTTTGAGCCAATAATCTGGTTGCGAGTTCTGATATATTCTTGATGTAAGGTGGGAATACCCGTCCGGTGGCTTGTTCTTGCTGTTGCCGTTGTTGAAACGTCTTCTTCTCCAATATTCTCTTGATAAAATTCCTTGGGTATCCATGGTTCCGGAATACTCTGAACAGATGTTTTTCTTCCTTCTTCCGCAGTTCTGTGGTGCTGCAGTGTCTCAGCCCTCTTGAACAAGGTTTGGACGCAGCTCTTTTTGTGGTTTACTGGATGGTTGCTGTTGTAGTTCAGTATTTGAGCTGTATGAGTCTCCTTTCGGTAAACGCAGGTTTCCAGAGTTTCATCCATCTTTCTGTTCACTGTAACGTCTAAGAATGATAGTCGATTGTCTTTTCAGTTCGATTGTAAACTTGATATATTCAAAAGCGGTGTTGAGTAGTTTATGTGCCTCGTGCACTGAGTCCCGTTTCATGATAACGCATGACTCATAACGACACCTTCATCCACGATTGATATGTTTGCACAACATCCAAGTTGTTTTATTTGCAGGGAATAGCAAATGATCTGAACTAACAGTGGCGCAGTTGGAGCAGTTCTTTGAGGTTGCGTACAGCGTAGAAGATCCCTCGAGTGGTATTTTGGCCTAGTTCTTTCACTTGTAGGAACCGTAGCCAGCACTACTTTAAAAAACGCTGGGAGAGAAATTATATTGGAGATTATCTCGACCGTCCTTCATGTTTTACGCCTAAAAGCCTAGAAATGAGTTGCGTTGTTTAGAGCGCCGGGTCACTGACAAGATAAGGCGGGTAGTAAAACGGGCACGGGATTATCTTGCAGTTACAAGCAAGTCCTGAGATCCCGTCGGCGGAATTTTAATGTGTGACCGTCTTCAGCCTTTTTCTTCTGCAGTACTTTTAAATTGCAGACACAGGGCACACGAGAGCTGATTTTATTAGAAATTTCAAGTGACTAATTTTTTCCCAAGGGTTTTAAAGCTAGCGCTTCGTACGGGGATAGTCCGTGACAAAAAACTGAAGTTTCCTGCGTTGCGGCCGCTTTTGCTGCTTGATGCCATGAGCTCCACTGCAGGGCATCCGTGCGACATTCACAGTGCCTTGCACACCTGGCCGCTTAATGTTATTAAGAATTACGTCGTGTTGGGGGTTTAGAATGGCTGTGGTGACTTTGCTAACTTGTGTTTAAGCATTTAGACCAACAGCCACGAAGGATCTGATCATCTGCTTGTCAGGGACTAGGTGACCATCAGTACCCCAGCAAAATTAAAGGAATTTTTCACATCTCGGTGCTCTTATCAGCCTCATACTCATATCAGTCTTCACGTAGTCTCATCAGCCGGGGTGCAGTGCGAGTCCTTTATAAACAAGCTACCGCCGACGCCTCCTTCCTGTCTTACGTATTCTTTCTCACAACCCAATAGCATTCCTCTGCCTGTAAACCAATGTGTCAGAAATGATGATCCACTTCTACGTGCGTCTATACTGGTTGCGACATCTGTGAGACAGCCGGTGCCGGTAACTTAATTTTGGGCACACCGAAAAACGACCCTCCACAAGCCAGCTTATTTATGTGCTTCTAGTGCTCACGCTCCGAAGCAACTGGGAGACCGGGGACTCAATTAGGAGTGGTGTTTGCTGCGCATAAAAAACATATTTCAGGATCCAAGTACATTAGTTGAGTTAGCTGACCAAAATGTTTAGGCCCAGCTAACTTTAGAACCAACTGAAAACATTTAGCAACAAGACACCTCTAACAGGATGTCCCCGCGCACCCGGGCTGACTACACTACAATTCTCCAAATTCTAAATGAGTTAGAGAGGTTTNGCGGTTCATAACTCTTGCTATTTTTCGAGCTGCTATCGTCGTATATTTGCGCTTGGTACATGGAAAGGCTAGAATTTATAATGTTACAAATTGTACCACAATGAAAATATCACCGTCCAGTAACGGTTAGCTGATCACCAATAAGCTTTCAAGAATCGTAAAACACCACAAATTTAGAACGCGTAATAAGCTGTTGTACCCGTTTATTTCAATTTCGGAAAAATGAAACAAAGAAGCTCTTAGGTATATGTGGGTGTAACAAAATGCATCATGGATTTAAGGGAGCCTGTAGTGATTAGTCAAGCACAGACGGATGGCCGACAGTTGTGTATGAGGTGCGGAAAGCTATAATTAATGTAGAAATACGAATGATCCAATTTTGCCCGAGACCTAAGCGGTGTGAAATACGTCAAATTTTTGACCTGACTTTTTCGAGGTAACAAGTTTAAATTACGGGGACGCATGAACTTTCAAAGACTCACAGAACAATTTCACGCAGTCCAGCTGAAATCAGCTGCGAAAGTGAGAGAAGTTGGCTGAAGGAGCCCAAGAACTGGGTTTAATTTACCGTACAAATAGATTGTGAAACAGTAATATTAAAAATAACTTCGATGGACGAGTTGATAATTGGATAAGTTGGATAAGTTGGTTCGAATCCTAGATAAACTGCATTCTTGTATTATTGGATGCTCAGCTGAAACTAATCTGAACGTAAGTATTAGTTCCACAGGCAGAAGTTTTTATCTACTGAAAATCACTAGTCTTCCACAATTATAGGAAAATATATGGTCCTTGTGCCGCAAATACAAGCCATTTTCTAGAGGTAAAAATGTCTGCACATCTTGATTATCCGAATAATACAGGTGACGTTAGATAAACCGAAAACACTTCGAAGACGAAGGCAATTTATGTTTCAGTAAGCGAAGCGATAGGCGGAAACATGTGCAACATATTTGATATGCGCAACAATCTGCAGGTTACAGAATTGTAAGTACTGATCTCCTTTGACCGCAGCGGAGCAAAAAAGGTCATTTTCTACTGTTGAAGTGTGTGTCGCTGCCTATCTGTAGCGACGTACGTTTTGTGCAGCTGCGACGACCTTTTGCTCGCCACTCAACATTTTAAACACTAACCCATGTTCATCTGTCTCATCGCACTTGCGTGGCACGAAGGCATAGTTTCACCAATAAAGGCTCAGTTAAGCTATTGGTATTTTGCTGTCTTGTTTACAGTGTACCCACCGTGAGCCCAAAATGTTCTCTATGAGACGCCTGACAGGTATATTTGAACTTTTTAAGAATGCCAGCTCTTTTCACGCTGTGCTTTTACAAAAGGCATACGTACTATTGGTTGGTAGTTTGAAGGTATTAGGCAGTTTTATCCACCACTCTGATGAAAAAGAATACAAATTTTAGAACTACACTGCCAGGATTTGTTCCAAAGCCACAGCTAAAAAAGGGAACAAGAAAGTTTGGGTCAGGTTGCTATTCCGAAACGAAATTATTTGGAGAATCACGTGAGTTAATTTTGTATGAGAAAATCTCGTGTGCACCCTCGATTATTGGCTTCAAGTGACTCCATCTCTGGAATCTTTCACCATTATTCTGGTACGTGAAATTTCTTTAGGCGCCCTCATGTCGGTTGACAAATCGGGTCAAAGCGCTCCATAAAAGAAAAGATTATGGCATTGCGCCAACTGAGGGTTTACTGGGTTCCATTAATGCAATGAGGTA